TTTAATTTAATTTTTTCTTTCCATGTAGCGTTTTTGGTGACAAAAACAAATAAAATTTCATTTATTTGAATCATTTCTGATTAAATAATTTAAATATAATTTATATTAATATAATTTATACTATTAAATATTAAAAGCCACCTAGAAAGTCTAGAAAACAAATTAAATAAGACAAATAAAAATTTCTGATGTTTTTTATAATTAAAAATAATGACATAATATACTTAAATTATTATTAATATATAATTACACAACAAACACACTTTTTGAAAATGTTTATTATTTCCTACCTGCTCTCCAGCAGAAATATCCAAGAACTTGGACTGCAGTTGGTAACAAAAGGATAGGACCAGCTCTCTCATCTAACGGTTTCGAAACAAAACATTCATTAATTCAGTCTGTCTTCATGACATGAGCGTTTTAAGTGCAGCTTCTCAGGGCTCTTGCCCTCTGAGACAGGTTGTCTATGAGAAAAGCAGGGGCCACAGGCTGCGTGGTTTTACTCATGTTCTCCTGAGAGCTCCATAAGGCCAAGAGCTCCTCTGGGTTACGAGCAGCAAACAGCAAACCAAAGATCTAGGAAATGAGGTCAACAGGAAAACTGATGGAAAAGCATATGTATAGGTGCACATTAAACAAACCTTTTTCACTAGTTCATGGATGCTGCTGGCAGGTAATGACAGATTCTCCCCCATCAATAGCGCAGAGACTACTTGTAAAAGCAGCCTGTGGCAGGAGTAGGACAGTCCTGGTGCCTGAACTAGCTGAAGAAGTGTCTAAATATTACAAAAAAGGGGGAAAGAGATATCAGAGATGCAACAGAACTCAATGAGAACACAATCTTTGAGTGCTAGAGAAACGCACACATATACACCTCACAAACAGACTGGGGTTTTGTTATCTTTGCTCCTTTGCGATGCTCTACAAGTGTGTGGCAGATGTACAGAATCCTCTCCAGGTGCTCATTAGCTTGAACAGCATTGCTTGTGTCTAACTTGCCAAGAACTTCTTTCAGAGAGACCTGCAAACCATGATAAATGAATAAATAAACAAAAAAAATTATATATTTTAATATCATTCAAATCTAACGATATATCTATATAAATTATTTTATTTTAATTATATAAAATCTAATTAAAATCTAATTACTTGTACATAACTAAAATGTAATAATCAATAGGCATTTACTTAGATTTAGATTTTAATTTTATTAAAGAAATATATATAACTTGTATATAATACATCGAATTGCACTTACATAACTAAAATGTAATCATTGATAAATATACATTTAGATTAGATTTTAATTAATATAAAAAATAAATAATTTTATATATATATATATTATATATACACATATATTATACATAAACATACTGTATAAATATATAAATATGCTTTTTTTCATATTATAATATACATAAATAAGCATTTATTTAATTTAAGATATTTCTTTGCATATAATTATTAATCAAAAAAATTTCAATTAATCTACATGCCCAATGTATCATCTATTACAAGATGTTACTATAGCATATATTTTAACATGACTGAAACAGCAACCAATCGGCATCTAGGATGGGTACAATCACTTAAATACTGCATAACACATTAATAATGATAACAAAGTCAATGTTATACAGACTGTCAGACAAAAAAATATATATATATATTTTTTTTTTTTTACTTGTAAGGAGTCCCACAAGACCAGCAGGTGCTCTTTGTCAACATAGTTGGCTGAAGACTCAGCCATGTGATCCAGAGCTTCTTTTACTGAATCCCAAGGCAAATCAACGTCCTGACCGGCTGCAGGGCCAAGTTTCTGCAACACCACTGCAAGAGCCTGATAACAGCAGTCCTGTTAATCACTGACACACTTAATTGTGTGATGTGTTTGGTTTTCAGTGATGTGATCTCACCTTAGTGGCACAGGAGTGGAACATGTTACAGACTCCTCGACACATCTCAAAGATCAGCTGACCTGCTCCTCTGGCCTTCTGAGGGCTCTCAGACAGGTCGGAGAACATGAGTGTGAAGAGAGCATCATAATCGGACACCTGTGGGACATGAGAGAGAAGTGTTAGCTTTACCGACACAACACAGAAGACATGGTCAAAATAACCTGAGACGTAAAGCCTCACCTTTCTCATCAAAAAAGAGAAGCTCTCAGCAGCAAAGTTGCGGATGTGTTCCTTTTTGTGCTCCAGAAGTTTACTGTAAAGACTAGATTAGAAAAGCAAAAGAGTGAGAAATTATATTATTATAATTCTACAAATTATGACAGAGAATGTAAACATACTTTTATGGAAGCTTATTTCCATTATCTCACAATTTTGACTATTTTTCTTGCAATTATGAATAAAAAAGGCATAATTGTGTGAGACATGAAGAATTCAGAATTAGGGAACAAACTCAGAATTGCAAGTTATAACTCAGAATTGTGAAATAAAACTCAGAATTGTGAGCTATAAATCTGTCTGAGTTGTCTGAATTGTGAGAGATAAACTTGCAATTACAAAAAATAAAGATATCACAATTACATTTAAAAAAAATTATTCTGTAGTGTAAACAAAAACAAAATTGTGAAATGTAATTCAATTCTGAGAAAATAAAATCTGAATTGTGAGATGTAAACTCAATTTTGAGAGAAAAAAAGCCAAAATTGCGAGATTTTAACTCTAAGAATAAACTCATAATTACCAGTTCATTACTCGTAATTGTGAGATATAAACTTGCAACCATGAGATAAAAAAGTCACAATTTTTCTATTTTTATTACATGGCGGAAATAAGCTTTCATAGGTCTGACAGAAAAGTATTTAAACTAGAATATAATCTGCTATTATTTTATAATATATTTTTAAACATCTATATAGTTTTTTATTTATTTATTTATTATTATTATTTCAGTTAGTTTAGTACCTTAAGTTAAACAATATGAATATAAGAATTGTTTTTGGCAACTAGCTTAAATAAAATAAGTTTAAGTTTTTAAATATATTTCACTTCCACTAATATTTATTTTATTTCAAGTAATGAAAATGTTTTTTAAGGTTTTATCTATTGTTGTTATATATTATAATGTTAAAAGTCTTCTTCATTCAGAAAAGCGTTTTTGGAAAGATTATATCTTATTTTGAGCGATACTTAAAGTTTAACTCCTCAGTTATTACGAACTGTTTTTTTTTGTCTGTATCAGTTGTATTATATATAATTCACTAATATAGAAATATAAAAATATAATATAAATTATAAGTTCTACACTATTAATGTGTTGTATAGACTTTTATTTGGTTAATGGTTTGTTAGGGTTATTCATTACAGTTATACATATAGAAATATGAAAATATAATTTAATTATATATGATAAAATATACAAAATTTTCTGTTTATTTAAAATTATATTCATGTCTAAACATTATTAATGTGTTGTACATATTCATATATATTTACGTTTTTGGTCAATGTGTTGGGGTTATTTATGAAAGTTGACTATATATATATATACAGGTGCATCTCAATAAATTAGAATGTCGTGGAAAAGTTCATTTATTTCAGTAATTCAACTCAAATTGTGAAACTCGTGTATTAAATAAATTCAATGCACATAGACTGAAGTAAAGTATGCCTTGGAAAGTATGATGAGCTGAAGGCCATTGTCAAAGAAACCTGGGCTTCCATACCACCTCAGCAGTGCCACAAACTGATCACCTCCATGCCACGCCGAATTGAGGCAGTAATTAAAGCAAAAGGAGCCCCTACCAAGTATTGAGTACATGTACAGTAAATTAACATACTTTCCAGAACGCCAACAATTCACTAAAAATGTTTTTTTATTGGTCTTATGAAGTATTCTAATTTGTTGAGATAGTGAATTGGTGGGTTTTTGTTAAATGTGAGCCAAAATCATCACAATTAAAAGAACCAACGACTTAAACTACTTCAGTCTGTGTGCATTGAATTTATTTAATACACGAGTTTCACAATTTGAGTTGAATTACTGAAATAAATGAACTTTTCCACGACATTCTAATTTATTGAGATGCACCTGTAGATTTTAATATGCAATTAAATTTTGCTTACATTTTACTCACCCTCAGGCCATAAGATGTAGATGAGTTTGTTTCTTCATCAAAACAGATTTAGAGAAATTTAGCATTACGTCGCTTGCTCACCGATGGATCCTCTGCAGTGAATGGGTGCCGTCAGAATGAGAGACCAAACAACATATAGAAACATCACAATAATCCACAACATGACTTCAGTCCATCAATTAATATGAAGTGAAAAGCTGCATGTTTGTAAGAAACAAATCCAACATTGAGTTTTAACTTTAAACCATTGCTTTTGACCAAAATATGAGTTCATAATCCATAAAAATCCTTCATCCTGGGAAATGTGGACGGGAGTGGTGTGGATTATTGTGATGTTTTTATCAGCTGTTCTGACTCTCGTTCTGACGGCACCCATTCACTTCAGAGGATCCATTAGTGAGCAAGTGATGTAATGCTAAATTACATCTAAACCTGTTCTGATGAAGAAACAAACTCATCTGCATTTTGGATGACCTGAGTCTGAGTAAATTTTCAGCGATTTCGGGTCAACTATTCCTTTAAAAGTGTGGCTGTTTTAGGGAGGTTTAGCAGGGTTAATATCCGGTTTGGCGCTGTCACTGCGGGTGTGCATCAGGGCACAGATATACCCTCCACAACCAGAGAACAGCAGACCGTTGGCTCTGGTGACACACGGCTGTAACATCTCAGGTAACACTAACTGGACTGCAAACACAGAGGAAAATCTAGAAAGGTGGGTTTGCAAAAACCAGTTGAATCGAAATCTATTGGCTGGTACATAAACAGGATCCATTTCCTTTCCTTTCCTGGCTGATAATTGGTACTCGCTCTCATACTTGTACTTTGGCCCATTGGGGACTGTCACGGTCATCACCGTGGGTCTCGTTGTCAGTATACTTTCAGGTATGAGACATTCTGATATGTGAAGCACTCTACTGTCATTGTTCAAAGTAACTGATGTTTTCTAAGTTTCTCTCCAAGGCGGCAGACAGAAAAGAAGACCTCACCATCTACAAAGCCTACAATGTACTCAAAGCAAAAGTGAGTATATTCTTTAATGCACGCATATATACAAATATACATGTACAAATATACTCACACTATTCCCATCACTTTTATCATTTTCAATTATTGGCACTAAAAGGTTTCCGGTAGTGCAGGAAAGTTTGACCTGGTGGAGGCGCTGGACAAATCCTTTGGAAAAAACAACTTTGCTTTCTGTGATGTAGAGCTGTCTACACAAACACCTGCTTAGACCAGCATAAAACTGAAATGTCTTTAAATATACATGCATATGTACTTGACATTCAAATAACTGTCTATTGTAAATTTAACAAGGACTTAAAAGTAGTAAAAAATAAAGGTTTATGTCCAAATCTGTTATAGTGCAACATATCAAAAACAGACATTCAGAAATGTACAGAAAATAAGGATTTAACCTTTGACATATTTACTGTACAGTCTGGCACGTGTGACAGAGACATCGATTAATGCTCTGGTTCATAGTAGCGTTTCTTCATTGCTCTGTATTTCCTGAGGAAGTAAAGCGCCTCGAGTTCTTTGATCACAAACTCTCCACGGTCAACCAGCTTTTTGATTTTCTCAGGATCGGTGACATCTTTGTTCTTCATGAAAGCTGCTTTCAGACGCTCCCTGAAGTATGCTGTGCCTTTTGGATATTCCCGTCCAAGATACAGAAGCTGTAAAAAAAGAAATGCATTACCCAAGCAATGGATAGTCATCAGTACAATTTTACATTTCTTCTTTCTGCGTTTGTTTATTTTGTGACTTGGCTGCCATGCAATGTTATGTCCAGTAAAGGATGACATAAAGTACCACTGGACAACATTTCATATGAAAAGAACAGATGAAAAAAAAAAAAGCAGAAAATGCTTCTTACATTTCTGTACAATCTTATAACTTCACCTCTCAGTGGATTACTCATTTTAATGTCTCTCTTTTTATCCTGAGGCAGACAATAAACCTAAAACAAACAGAGAACAAACAATAATACACCACAATGCATTGCCTATTATGTTTAATAGCATGCAACACACAAAGAATGTGGACTGAAATTCTCCTCAAATCTAATTCTCCTCGTATTGTCGTACTTTATAGATTATTAAGATGCTAAACGCCGATTTATTGAATGGATAAAGTAATCTTCAGCTGGGTAGTAAAGTTTTCTTGTAAGAAATATGGTTTATAACAACGTTTGCTCACCTACAAGATCATAACGGAGGCGTTTACCAGGACGTGCGGGGGAAATGCCATGGTATGGATGCTTTCCAAAATAAAAGTCACGAAGCGCGATGGCTTCTCAAAATAAAAGCCAGGTTGCGTCTTTGCATTTTTCAGAATAAAAGTCTCCTTGTGGCTTTGAACCAGTCAAGTACGTGGCCTGTAAACCTTTTTAAACATTGTATTTTTGCACAGCATTAGAGCTTTACAGGAAAAGTAAGAACTTGAAATAAAAGACGACATTATTTCAAAACATATTATTATTTTTATTTAACAATATCCATACATTTCACAAAACATTCTCTGGCAAAATAGGATAATCCTACATAAAATACAGTCCTATATAAACCCCAATCAACATGAAAATATACTGATTTACATTCTTTAACACCTTTCTTCATACTTACACCCAAAATATAAATAGACGTTGGTCCTAATCTTGAAATATTCTCTGCATTAATTCATATAGTGTTTATCGAGTGCTGCAGTCAGTGTTCCCAACAGTTATCCAGATGAATTCCAGCTCTTCTTCCTGTACAGAAGCAAGTAGGCTGTGTCTCTAAAAACAGCATGCAAAATTATAATTAAAACCTGGGAGATGTCTTGGATGAAATGCAATAATTTAAAAGATTTGCATTTTTGTTTTGCTTTCCTTTGAAGTGCCTGTGAGAAGCTATATAAGTTTAGAATGATTGATGTTTAACATACCCATACCAATGGGACCCTCCATATGTGTCCTGCACTTCTGCCCATGTGGCCTATATGATAAATAAAATAATTACATATCAATATCAGTTACATTTCAGTCTTAACTATTTCAGATACTAGTTAAATCAGCCACTATCTCTTACTTGTCGCACGTGGCTGTCATCAGCATAATACCACATCTCGTCCTGATTTGATCTGATGAAAGCTGTGCAGTGACCAAACATGGCAGTTCCTATGTGCACTACTACTGCACAGAGACTGTAACCCTCATCAGCCTTGAGACAATCAGCCTAAAACAAGCATACAACAAATCAAGCATATGACAATATTACTATGACTGCAGAGTTCTTTAGTAAATATATGCTAAACATACATTTTCTGATTGTCCTGCAGCAAAAAGGCCAGTGCTGAATTTTTCAGGAAAGGTGACTTTGTTGAAGAGTTTCCTGGTGAAACCATCATTGTTTCTGAATCTTTTCAAGTGGACACACAGAATCGGAGGCAATGAGGCAAGTTTCACTTCCTACATGACAAATAAAAATAAAAATAAAATAAAAACAATTAACTTACAATGCACTGCACTATGTGCTGAAATCAGGATAAATCTTACTTGGATTTGCTATATTACCACATTAAAAAACAAACTGTCGAAATTCATGAAAGATTATACTAGATAATAACAAATAAAGCACACACATGAGTGGACGGCTGCTTTTCATCACACCGGTCACAGTAAAACTTCTCGCTGTCCGGCAGCTTTTGTAGCTTGAAAAAAGACTTGATGCAGCTTTCCTAAAGAACATAAGAAAGAATAATAAAGCATGATTAGCTCAAGATCTTCTACATTACAATGCGCATTACTGATGCACAATGACTAAAAATTAATGTAGATTCAACATTGTTGGTAACCAAACAGTTGCTGGAAGCCATTAACCTCCATAGTATTTTTGTCCATAATATAGAAGTCAATGGCTGATTGGTTACCAACATTCTTCAAAATATCTTCTTTTGTGTTCAACAGAATTTTTTTCGCCCTTTAAATTTCACTTTAAATTATTTACCAGGGTGTTTTCTCTTTCACAGATTGCCAAAGGAAGGCTGAAGAGAGAGCTGGGCACTCCGTGAATGAATTTGCACTTTGAACACATCACCTGGGTCTCTACCTTTATCTCATAGAGACTGCGGATTTCCTGAGCCTGAAAGAGTAAACAGATAAAGAGTTTAACATAACTGATTATTCTCATTTACACTGACAGTATACTGAACAAAATCTGTGCATCTACAGGTGCATCTCAATAAATTAGAATGTCGTGGAAAAGTTCATTTATTTCAGTAATTCAACTCAAATTGTGAAACTCGTGTATTAAATAAATTCAATGCACACAGACTGAAGTAAATTAAGTCTTTGGTTCTTTTAATTGTGATGATTTTGGCTCACATTTAACAAAAACCCACCAATTCACTATCTCAACAAATCAGAATACTTCATAAGACCAATAAAAAAAACATTTTTAGTGAATTGTTGGCCTTCTGGAAAGTATGTTAATTTACTGTACATGTACTCAATACTTGGTAGGGGCTCCTTTTGCTTTAATTACTGCCTCAATTCGGCGTGGCATGGAGGTGATCAGTTTGTGGCACTGCTGAGGTGGTATGGAAGCCCAGGTTGCTTTGATAGCGGCCTTCAGGTCATCTGCATTGAAAACCCACCACAGCAGCATCAGACATCTGCTTCTGACTGAGATTTAGGATGATGTGGAATATTTCATCTGCATCTTGTTGAGTGGATGCTACAGCAGAATGACAGAATGACACCACTGAGGGACATTATTTCCATAAGTATAAGATTTTAGGGTGATATGAGGCATACGTTGGATGGCTTGATAGTAGAGGCAGTTGAGGAAGTCTTTGTGTGGAACAGGATGTGATTTATCCCTCATGGCTTCCAGGGCGTTCCTCAACTGCAGTGGGACGTTCCTCTCATCAGTCCCATCTGATGGATGCCATCTTTAAAGGAAGAGTTCACCCAAAAATGAAAAAAATAGTTGAAAATTTACTTACACCTTTAGGTTATCCAAGATGTAGTTGAGTTTGTTTCTTCATCGGAACAGATTTGGAGAAATTCAGAGTTTCATCATTTGCTCACAAATGGATCCTCTGCAGTGAATGGGTGCCGTCAGAATGAGAGTCCAAACAGCTGATAAAAACATCACAATAATCCACATGACTTCAGTCCATCAATTAATATCTTGTGAAGTGAAAAAACTGTTTGTTTGAGTCCTCGATCCATAATATTGCTTTCTCAAGTGGGAAAAGAAAGTTGTCTCGTCAGAATCAGGCATGAACTATACACAGATCAAGAAAGAAAAACAGTACAAAACAGTTCTACACAAATATGTCAATGGATTTTGATGTTAGAGGACTTCAGGAGATGGACTTTTTCACCAGAGGAAGCGTTATTATAAACACAGGATGTATTAAGTATTACAAATCAGGGGTGGCAACATTGTTTCACAGTTAGTTCCAGGATAACTCCATTAAAACTCTAACTCCGGCTGTTGGCTCTGTAATAAGGTCCAAACATGGTGTTCCACGTCTGCTGAAGGAGTCCATGCAGGCGGAGCAGCCACGGGAAAGCTGAGGGAAGAGCTGAGAGTGGAGAAATAGCAGAAAAATTAAAGTAATTATTGAGGATGCATTGCATTAAAATGGCCAGCGGATCTCTTACCCGGGTCTATACGGACGAGAAGAAGATACAGCAATATTAAAGCCAGAAAAACTCTGCGCAGAGAGATGGATCTGATTCTCACACTGGCTACTGAAAGACCTCGGTACAACAACCTCATCATGGAAGTCAGCCGCTGAGTCAGTTTATCTGTAAATCACAAATTGCATCCATTATCAATTCTACAATAAAATGATCTCCTCATCAATCATATAGTTTGAAGAATCAAATTACATTGCCATTTTTGACTTTAAGCACATTAATAAAAGAAAGTCACCTTTTTTTGAAGCACAAGTTGTCGCCACAGCTACAGATTCAGGATTTGTAGAGGATGATGTTGCATTTTTCTCATTCTGAATGTCTACCAAACTCCGAGCCGCTTGCCTCTGTTCATCAGTGAAGGCCAGCCGACCCACATCAGTCTCCAGCATCTCCAGAGCTTCAGCCGTGTGACCCATCGGCACCAGTATGTGGAGGAAATACAGCTCAGCCACAGAGCTGAACCCCGACTGGCTCATGTTACCAGAGCAGTGCAGCCAATCACAGACCGCATCCTTCATCACGGCCCGCTCATCCACTTTCACATAGAGAAGAATGCTGTGAAACAGTTTATATAGCATTAGGAGTGATGAAGTGTGTTCACCCACATTCAAGAGCTGTTTAACCCTAAAAGGGGCAACGTATGCTGGGGGATACAAACATTTGAGAAGCTGTGGGGAGAAGCAGTGAAAGTGTAGGTCTTATTTCTTGGTTTCATTTAGAAAGGGTGTTTGTTGTGAATATTTAGATGGGGTGACTTGTTTCTCCATTCTTTGTTTAGCTCACGGGCAGCATTTAAAACTGCATGCTGTAGTGGGAAATCTACTCACCCTCCAATAAAAGTTGATCTAGTTCACATATTTATACTTGTTGGATGGGACGTACTTGTTTAAAAAGCTGTTGTTCAGCATTAGGTTTACATTGAAATCTTATGAATTAAGTGCTTACATTTTTTGTAATCGGTCTCTAAATGTTTGCATCTCAGGGGATACGTTGCCCTTTTAGGGGTATAAATCAAGATATAAAAACATATATATAGACTCTGTGATTTTGTAGCTTGTGTTTCAGAAAATCAATACTTTTTGTAATCTAGACAAAATGCATATCGTTGGAAAGGTCTGGCAGTCAAGGTTCCATATTTGGTAGCCATTTTGTAATAGAAGTGATACTGTGACAGAAAACTGCATCAAAAAAATTAAATAGAGTTTGGGTGTAACCCAATGGTTATTTTTGGTATAGCGCCCAAACAAAATCACAAGAACCACAATTTTTGTGATATCAACTTCCAATTTAGAACATAACTTGGTTTTGATTTTATAGCAATTTTAGAGTGCAACATATTTTATAAAATACTTATTTGATATAAAATATAAAAATAATATACATTATCTTTACTGTAAACTTAAACTTTTTTTATACTTTTTTTTTTTTTTAATGCTTTAACTTCAGCAATAATCTGGCTTGTGTCTTCTTTAAAAAGAAACCAACTTTATTCCAAATTAAAGCATTCAGGAATTACAACCATGTTGTAACAAGCACTGATAAACAAGTGTTCTGTTTTCAGTGAATTTATATCCCCAAAGGGGTGACGTATCCTGGGGGATACAAACATCAAAATAATAAAAAATTAAAAAATCATGAAATTGTATTATTTGAGTTCCAATAAGATAGAACATAGCAATAAATTCATTTTCTGAAGTCTACTCATATTTTTGCGCTTTTTAGGGTTAATGTCATTTGTGAGATTAATGCCGATTCTTCTGACCACATTTGGATAATCTTTGCAGGAATTTTCTCTGTTTCTCCATACTGCTGCCAAACCCACTGCAGAACTCCACGCCACTGATTGAGCTCCGCCAATGCCTGAATCCCCACTATAGTCAATGCTGCTTTCAGTTCTACATACTTGAAGCTGTAAGGGAAGATTTAGAATTTCATGTGAAATAACTATAAACGCAAAATATTATTTCATTATAACATGTAATATATAAAAACGTACCTGCTGTCCTCCTGCTCTGCAAAAGAGCCCAAACTCTCAAGCCCTTTCTCGCACGTATCCAGAGCAGCCTGAAAGTCTTTCTTTACCATTAAATATTCAAGGGCAGCGTCCACCGGAGCGGTTACCGGACACGCGGGTGAGCTGCTGAGCCGAACCGAGCCCGAGCCACGACCGCCCGCCAGAGACACCGACGAACTGCTCCTCATACCGGACTGCTACTGAGCGTTTAGTGCATTACAGACTTAATATCGAAATAAGAAACGATTGGGAATAATACAATGTGAATTCTCAATGTCATTAATTAATTTAGGACACTACACGTGAAACATCCATTCTGTAAACAAAACCAGCTTCACTGCGCCACTTCCGCAATGGACGACGAAGAAATACCCGACAAGATAAAAGTCCGGAGAAGTTCAAATTTCAAACTTAAAAACAAATAATAATAATAGTAACTACATAATGTTATATATATATATATATATATATATATATATATATATATATATACTATGGGGATTAAGTAGAGACCAAAAATATTTTAAATCAAAATTATTATATTTCTGAGTTAATATTTAATCTGATATTTTATACCAGTTTTATATTTTTTATATTTTATAAATTTTAGACTCTCAAAGTACTATAATATAAAATCTAAAAATATTAGACTTTTCCTGCACACACAAATGTACACAAACTCCCTTTAGTTAAAAAATAAAAAAAATAAATACAAATCTTGTGAATAAAGGAATATTTGACAGATATGTGTATTTTATATTTAAGTACATAATTCATTGATATCCAACAGAGTACAAAGATGCTTCCATTAAATAAGGCTGGGGACAACAAAAGTACATCTTTAATTCTTCTCTCCTAAAGTGGTCATATATTAAATTTTCTAAATTATACAATTTCCCAAATCTTAGCAAATCTATATTGAAAAGAAAACTACAAAACTTATCAAATTATTGCTGTATCTGTTAATTTACGGTTTTTAAGTCCAATCACTGGCAACTCCAGCATCTGCTGGAAGAAGCTGACCTCTGTCAATCAACAATTTCATCAGTCCTTTCCTCCGTCTCCATGTTACCCTCAGCCCATAGTCTTTCTCAGGTGTGTCCATCACCAGGACGCTCGAGTTCTCAGTTCGCGGAGGAGTTTTTGCTTGGTTTGGGGGGAAGAGGAGATGTTGAACATTGGATGGAGACGTGCTGGAGCAATGTGGCATTTCAGGCATCTCTACATTGGGGGGTTCGGGAACCGAGCTTGTGTTCGGTGTGTGAACTGAATCCCTAGTCGTTCCATTTTTGTGGAATTGCACGTTCTTTGAAACTTCTGAACGCCTGGAGGTGGATATAACACGTGTAGCCATCCTCCTCTCCACCCCTTTTCGAGGAAAGCGAGTTCTCCTTGGAGTTTCTCGAAGCTGCTTGCTATGACCGTCCGAAGAAACAAGCCTATCATTCTTTGTCCGTGAACTACTAATGTTTGCTGTGGTTGCCTCAAAGGACAAGGGAATATATTTGCAGCCATTTGCTCTCCTAGTCTGAGGGAAACCCAAAACTGGGGCCTTGTTTGAGATCCTCGTAGCCATCTGGTTATTTCTCCTCCCTCGACCACCTCGATTAACCGTTGTGGTTTCGAGCGAATTAAACTGCGGAGACACCTACAAACAGAGAATATGCTTCAGTTTCAGTTGAAACATCTTCGCTCATAAAATGAAAGTAAGGGTTGCAAAGCATGCACATACCCAAGAGGTACATGGTGCACCACTTGGCTGTTGTTTCTCAGATATAAATGACTTGGGATGAATGGCACTCCGTAGTTGTGGTCCATACTTGTGCTTTGGTCCACTGATGGGCGCCTCTACGAACAACAGCTGAGATTTGTTTGGGTTCAGCAGCCTCTTCTTATGTGAATTGCGGGGCATTAGAAGACATGATATGCTGCAAGAAGGAAAACAAGATGACATGAGGAAGAGAATCATTACTACTACTGATCTGTCAGTGTCATGCAGGCATACACTTCCAGTGCTCTAAGATAGATACTGACTACCGACACATTTAGAGGCATTAATACTAGAAGAACTCATCTCATTTTATCGTATGTTTGTTAGTGAGACATGGTAGCCGTACTATGGAGAAAGTTCGCGTGTTGATAAAATACATGGCATGCAATGAAAGCCTTAACTGATACTCACGCATCGCTTAAAGTTTTTATTTCTTCTCAATCGCATTGTATTTTTTCTTTGGACCATATAAATTTGACAAAGGCACTGATAAACCGTCTGACTGAGGTTTGTGGGGAAAGTTCGTCCCCCATTCACACACTTCAGTTCCTCCCGGAGAAATAGAAACCGATTGAATGTTGGTTAGCCTAGCACTGGAATCCCACAAGAGGCGGGGCTTGGTGGCCCGGATGTTGTTTTGATTGGTCAGGTAGGATGAGTTCAAATCATAGTGATTTTTTAAATATTATTTATTGTGTTTTTTAAGTTCCAATATTATTAGTGTTCATCGGTGTGTAAAATTTAAACCAGACCACTGCTGAAGCGGCACATAAACGGTGTTAATTTTCTCGGCGCGTTTCTCAACAGTCACACACGTATGGAATTTTTTAAAATTTTTTGCAGAGATTGCTGTACACTTTTCTGTTGAAGAAATGTAGAAGGTTTCCGCTGTAGAAAATTAAAGAATATGTATTTCGGAGCCGCCGATCGCCCCCTAAAGGAACACAACTTACTGCACCTAATCTATATCATACATTTTAGTGTATTGTTGAATATAATGCAACATTTATTTTTGGCCCACTTCCCTTAATCAAATTTGGCCCTTTGTATGAAAATACAAAGTTATAGATCTTATTGTAAATAATACTTCTGTGCATATGTTTCATTTTCAAAAAATGTTTTGACCCCGCAATATTTCATTAAAATGTCATAACTGGATCTTGCGGTGAAAACGACAGACTGGACTTCTCAAATCATTTGGTCTTGGATTTATGCCACAATACGGAGGAAAAGATCTGTCACTGCTTCCGTTTCATTGCAGCTTTACAAATTGGTTAATAAATATGGTATAATAATGTTTTTTTTATATATATATTTAGTTTTTTTAAATTTCATTCTTAAAAATAGTTTGTTTGCTTCCTCATAAGCAGCCCAAAGCTCCAGAAAAGGAGAAGGACCCTCTGTCAGAGAGACCCCCATATTCCTACATGGCTATGATCCAGTTTGCTATCAACAGCAAGAAGAACCGACACATGACCCTGAAGGAAATTTACAACTGGATCGAGGATCATTTTCCGTATTTCAGAAATGTTGCCAAACCCGGATGGAAGGTAGTGTGTAAAACCAGTAGAGTTTCAGTTTACATAAACCTCTCGTGTAAGATTTCTGAGTGATTAAACTTTTTTGTTAGAATTCCATACGTCATAACCTCTCACTACATGACATGTTTGTCCGGGAGACATCTCCCGATGGCAAGATCTCCTATTGGACGATTCGACCGGAAGCAAACCGCTGTCTTACTTTGGACCAAGTTTACAAGGTGTGTATCCCTTACTGTGCAACTGTGTTCATATGCGATTTTATGCTTCAAATGTGGTCATCTCTTATTTCCTGGCTCGTCCCACAGCCTTTGGTTGACACAGTGACCCCCACTTGCCCTCAGATCCCACAAGTTGGTTTCAATAAAGTAAGACCCTTTTTCCTTCTAATTCGTCCTCTCATGACAGATCGTCAGGGCGTAAGACAGGGACCAGTCTCTCTACTTCTCCAGGAATCACTTATTTTATTTCAGAGACAGTCAGACAGAAGGAAGAACGTTCAGCTCGAGATCATCGCATGTTTTGTTCTTTTAATCATCTGAGAGTCATCAAAAAGGCAGACAGTATTGCGACTGCAGTTAGATTGAATGCCACACTTTGTGTGAAAGTAAAGAAAGTGTCTTTTTGTTCTCCGTAGCAACAGAAGAGAGGTCCTCCGGAGCTGAAGAAAGCCATACCTCCCACGGGCGGCACGGGTGAGTGTTGGCTGGATGAGAGGGGATGAATGTCTCCGCATGTGTGACAAGTTTGTTTTCTGACAGTCGTTTTATCTCTGCTTGTCCTCAGAGAGGAAGATGAAGCCGCTTCTGCCTCGGACTGACTCGTACCTGGTTCCCATCCAGCTTCCTCTGGGTCAGTCACTCTTCCTGCCCTCCTCCAGTCCTGCGACTCTCGCCACTCCTCCACACGCTCCGAGCTCCTCCACTCCCAGCTCCAGCGGTGCGATCAAGAGGGTCCGAATTGCCCCTAAGGTACACCCTAAATGTTTAAATGAATGAATCTAACAAAAACTTTCCTAGGTCATATTTCATCAAAAGAAAAAAAAGTTATATTATAGAAAAATTAAACCTTTTTTTTTTTTTCTCAGTGGTGATTCTGATTACTGTAATATATGCAGTTTTTTCCCCAGCATAATTTTAAATGCAGTACAGCACACATGACCATTATGTGTCAATACTTTGCTATGGAAGAGATAAATATTTAATTATTCATTTATAAAATAATTTTTCCCATATTTATTTGGTTGCATGTTATTCACTCATTCATTTTACGTGGGGAAATACTACTGAAAATCTAGCCTTAATCAGATTTTAATGGTCATTTACCTGTACTGATCCAAGCTGATCTAGATAGTTGATCAGCTGGCTTTGGGCTTGTAAACCGTTTTAAGAGCAGTCAACAAGGATTTGGATAGCTCCTAATATAAAGCCTGTTTATTTAAAAAAAACGGGTCATATTTCATCCTGCTATAAAAAAAAGTACCTTAAAAATGTGTAAAATAGTTTAAATAAATAAATTAAGCCTATTTTGTGATTACTGTAATACAGTCCATTTTTTAGCAGAATTTTAACAACAGCACAGCAAACACTATCATTAAGTTAGTATTAATTTATTGTAAGTACACTGAATTGGAAACACTGAATTTCAGCCCTGCAGGAAAATGAGCTAAAACCAGACTTTAAACTAATTAATAATCTGATCCAGGCTGATCTAGATGGTTGATCAGTTGGATCTTTACCTGGTTTTGGGCTGGTAGACCACTTTAGTGCAGCCAACAAATCAATTATGGGGTTTGGGGGGGGGGGGGGGGTTGTTCAGCTGGGAATTGAAAAGAGTGTAGAAATGAATTAGAGTAAGGTCTGATTGTTTAACGCTTGTGTGTGTTGTGAAAGGTCTCACAGATGATGCTGTGTGCGTCCACCTCTCAGGACATTAAGGAGGAGCCTGTGAGCGTGTCTGTGACTCCCGAAGCTCTGCCCTCCAAAACCAGACAGCAAGAAAACAGCAGCTCCCGCCGCAAACAGCGTCTAGTCCTGCCAGCCACCGAGGAACCCGTCCTGCTCTACCCCGACAGCACTCTCTTCGACTCGGGCGTGGTCTCCGACGTCTCCACCTTCCAAGACACTCACGATCCGGAGCCCGAGCCCTCCTGTAAACCCGACCCCGACAGCCCAAACAGAGAATACACTTTTAAAACGCCCATCAAGAGCAGCCACCCTTCCTCGTCCACACCCAGTAAGCTTCCCGCAGTTCTGGAGCCCTGGAGGATCACTCCCGTCAGGAAGGGAGGCGTGCTGGACTTCAGCCCCATCCGTACACCCAGCGGGCCACAGCTCACCCCGCAACGGCACGAGCACACGCCTTTCAGCTTCAACAGCACGCCTTTCAAAGAGCTGCCACTCTTCAGCTCCCCTCGAGAGCTGCTCACCTGCTCCAGACCCTCTCCGAGACGCTCCAATGCGACCTGCTCCAGAGAGCTGCTGCAAGAGGGCGCCACCAACCGCTCTCTTACCGAAGGCCTCGTCCTAGATACCATGAATGACAGCCTGAGTAAAATCCTAGTGGATATCAGCTTCCCCAACCTGGAAGATGATGATCTCGGCATGGCAAACATCAGCTGGTCCCAATTTATCCCAGAGCTGAAGTGACTCCCATTCCTTTATCCGAGCTACTCACACTTCCTTCACTGCCTTTGATTCTTATTTACTTGCTATTGATCTCTTAAGTATTTTCTTCATTTCTGTTGCTATTTCACTGCCTTCTACTGTACATGTTTGTGTTTTGGATGTGTAGGCCTTTATTTGCGAGCAAAACTGTTAGTGACGAATGTACTTAGATAAGATTAATTTGCACAAGTTGTAATATATAAATATGAGTGTGTGTGTGTGTGTGTGTGTGTGTGAGAGAGAGAGAGAGAGAGTGTATTATAAGTGAACATACAGATTTACCAGATTAATTAAATTACACTACCCAATTTTACAGTATTTCTTTGTTTTGGAATGATTTTGAACACCTTGGATTAGCCAGAGAGACTGACGGTAAAAATATTTTTAAGAGAACTTGGGGTGTAAAATAAACTTGCATTCAAATTAAAGGGATAGTTCACCCAAAAATGACAATTCTGTCATTTACTCACCCTCCACTTGTTCCAAACCTGAGTTTCTTCTGTTGAACACAAAAGAAGATGTTTTGAAGAATGTTGGTGACCAAACAGTTGACGGTAGCCATTTTTTTATGGTACCGGTACTAGTATTTTTTGGTTACCAACATTCTTTAGAATTTCTTCTTTTATTCTCAACAGAAGGAAGAAATGTACACAGGTTTGGAACAACTTGAGGGTGACTAAATAATGACAGAATTGTAATTTTTGGGTGGACTGTCCCTTTAATGGTGGTTTGCTAATTGCAGATGGTCATGTAAGTGTTGCACTGTACTAGAATTTGCCAGTCATTCATCTGGAGCGGTTTATAACATCCATAATGTGTTTTCATGGTTACAAGCATGTCAGAATAGTGACTCATCTCTGCTGCTGCTGCTTTTCTGCATTCATTTGTTTTTGCTATTAAGAACGATTTAAGACTGTGTTCTGAATGTTGGATATGACCAAGATGAGAGTTTAAAATGATTTGTGATGTATTGCAAAGCTTTTAATGTTGATTTGCATATGTTGAGTAACTAGTGAGTATGCGCAGAGTTCATATATGCTTAGAAGACTACCATCAAAATGTAGCTGTGTTAATTCATGATACATTGTATTGCATTATTCCAATGTAAAAACAGCAAGATGCCATAAAAATATACAAAAACTAAACGGTTGACAGATTTTTAGTGTTAAGTACTATTTACTAATAATAGTACATTGATGCACAGACATTTGATACTTGGTTTCTGTAAGAATAATGTCATGATGTAATAATCAACTATAACATTTCTCAACAGCAAATATTTTGGTGATACAAACAAATGTCCCATTCAGACCCTTTGCCATTGAAAGAACCATTTTGTACTATTTTTTGAAGACTGTTAAAATATAAAAGTTATCTACTTGGCATTTTACTTATGTAACAGGCTTTAACCAGAAACACCCATTGTAATTTCCAACAAAGCATACAATTTGGTTTCTCTTCCTACTGTACTTTCGTTTTGAGAATAAAGGGATACTTTATACAAACACATTTGTGAATTATTACGAAATGGTCCTTAAAGGGATAGTTGACCAAATGAAGCAATCGTATCTCTTCACATTAAGACTTGCATTACACTGCTTCATTTTAGGACAAAGCTTTGGTTACATTAATGTTCAATGGAGGAACAGAAACATCTCAGATCTCATGAAAAGTATCTTCGTTTATGTTTTGAAGATTAACCGAAGTCTAATGGATTTGGAATGACATGATAGTGAGTAAATTATCACAGAATATTCATTTTTGAGTGAACTATCCCTTTAACCCAACAGCATGACTTGCCAGGACATAGTCCTGTCTTTGATTTGAATATAAACTAGATGAAAATATAAGTGATGCTTGCACTAATGGATAGGGTGCAAGGATGTTGCTATGCGGATGCTAGGGTGGTTAGGGCTAATAGTAATAGCAAACACCACTAAAATGGACTTTGATGCCCTTTGCAACACTCAGGTCTGTAGTTTGGTGAAGCTCCATCAGTACGTCTGAACTTCCTGCTGAGTCACTTCCAGGAATATCTGCAGATGTAGGCTTAAATAATCTGCACAAGAGGAAATAGAGGTCAATCATTGGCTCTTTTCTGACCTTTGAGTAGAGCCATATTTACGGTATGTTTCTATTGGAATGAAAACGAGGCTTTGAGTAATAGAAATGCAGTGCGTTCAGTGGATTGTATGTTGTTAAACAACATACCGATTTTTCAGCTGACGAAACGTCTTTCCGAAAAAGACTAAGTAGACAAAAACTGGTTTTGAAACTTTATACAGTGAGTGCCATTGTAAAGATCCCTCACAGCCTTGTTTCATCAGTGTTAAATTTAATATGGCGTGTAATCGGACTCTACGATCTATAGCAATGAATGTTTAGCAAATGTGTAGTTAACTTTTTTTTTTTGCCTATTGTTTACCATTTGTATCACTAAAGTTTTACTACAAATGCCATTGTTAAACTATGGTTAGTGTAGCAAATGCATGCTATTTTGTAGTTACCACGGTTTAACTGGAGTAACCATGTTTTTTTTGTAGTAAAACCATGGTTAATTTTCGTAAGGGTAATAAATGTATTTTGCGTTAACGTTACTCACTGAAGGCTTTTTTCCAGCGTTCGGGTATGTATGACTTCTTGACTGTCAGGTAATACACAGGTACTCCTGATAATGTGAGGGCACAGCTGCCGCCTGTATTCCAGGGGTCCGAATACAAGGACAGGCCCACGATGAAGAAACACACTATGGTAAAGATCACCACAACTGCCAGAGGGACCTGAACACAGTCAACACAATGTTTAATTAATACAGTGACAAATTCCTATTAATAAATCAGTAATGAGCCATTTAAATGGACCTTGAATGGTCTGGGATGATCTGGAAATCTGTAGCGGTGGATGATCATTCCTAATGTGGCCAAGGCAATGAAAAGCCAACGCGAGAAGGATGCAAAGTTGATCAGTTGAAAGATCTCTCCTCTCACCATCATGATGATCACCACAGGATACTGCAAACATCAGAAGAAACGTAAACGGGCATTAAGGAACTGGGAGAAAAGGATGAATGGATGTGATTGTACCAAACATAGCACAGCTGGCAGTGGTGTTTGTCTGCGGATATGGATCATGGAGAAGATAGCTGGTAAGTGACCCTCTCTGGCTCCCACAAACAACATCCTGCAGAAAGACAGTTATAAAATCTTAAAGGAATAGTAGTCCCAAAAATGAACATTTGCTGAAACATTACCCTCAGGGCCTCAGGCCATCCAAGATGTAGATGAGCTTGTTTCTTCAATGGTGCATATTTGGAGAAATTCAGCATTACATCACTTGCTCACCAGTGGATCCTCTGCAGTGAATGGGTGCCGTCAGAGAGAGCAAACTGCTAATAAAAACATCCCAGTAATCCACAAGTAATCCACACCACTCCAGTCCATCAATTAACATCATGTGAAGAAGTGAAAACCTGTGTTTGTAAAAAAAAACAAATCCATAATTAAGGTGTTTTAACTTTAAATCACTGCATGGTTGATAGTCCATAATAGCGCTTCCTCCAGTGAAAAAGTCGATCCCCTGATGTTGTCTCACATTAAAATCCACCCACACATTTGTTTAGAACTGTTTTGGACTGTTTTTGCTTGTAAATGGGTTTAATATGTGCATATTTCTCTCCTGAAGCAGTGACGAGACAGCTTTTTTACTAGAGAAAGCAATCGAAGACTCATATTTTACCCACAAGCAATGGTTTGAAATGAAAAACGTCTTAATGATGAATTAGTTTCTTACAAACACACAGCTTGTCACTTAACAAATTGTTAACTGATAGACTGGAGTCCTGTAGATTGCTTGTGGATTATTGTGATGTTTTTATCAGCTGTTTGGACTCTCATTCTGACGGCACCCATTCACTGCAGATGATCCAATGGTGTGCAAATGATGTCGAAACAAACTCATTTACATCTTGGATGGCCTGAGTGAGTAAATTTTTAGCAAATGTCCATTTCTGAGTGTACCATTCTTTTAAATTTTAACTGGTCAAAGTTAAAGACTACTACAAAGATAAAACATACTTTTAGATGCAAAACATCTTTTGGCTTTGCATTTCTGAGATCCTTACCTAGGTGAACTAAAAAATCCTCCATTAAGTGTTCCAAGGCAGGAAAGAGCGACTAATACTGGTATTGCTGGAGCTACACCCTGCAGAGCCCGACTTGCAAATGTCTGCGGTACATTAAGGAGAGCACAGCCTTGACATTTACTCTCCAAACTAAAGCCTGTAATAATATCTCCAAAGACCACTACTAACCACTGCCACGGCATCTGACATCAGTAACTCATTCGCGGTCATAATGGTGTAGTAAGCCACATTGATCAGCACGTAAAACACGGTAACAGTCACCATAGAGAAAACGATGGCCAGTGGGATGGTTCTAATAAGGATATATGAGAAATTGATCTAAGAGCTTTTATATATTAATAATAATTGGGGGGGGGGGGGGGGTCTGAATACCTGTTTGGATTAATTACCTCTTCAGTTATGAAATTTAAATAAAACCTGTAAGCAAAAAGAAACACTTTTACATTATTTTGGAAATCCCTTCCTTTAGATTTTTATATGTTTGACACTGCTGCTAATACCCACCATCCACCATATGCATAAAGACCTGAATAAAAGGCCAGCGGCAGTTTGGTCAGAGATAAAGAATCTGAGTCAAAGGCATTCCGGAAATTTTCAGTTTTCCCTGAAATAGAAAAATTTGAAATATCAAGTCGATTTGCTGCCTCTCGTCTTATAATGTATTCAGGTCCATTTTTGACATATAAAAAATTCATACATTCATAAAAAATGTATAGGAATCAAACCTTTGAAATGAGCCAAAACTATCAAAATGAATTAGGAAATGTTTATTTTAATTAAAAAAAAATAATAAAATAAAAAGTTTAAGAGATATAAAATTATACTTTTTGCATTCAGTTCTGTTTGACCAGAGTTTAAACTGAGGCTTTACAAATTATGTTTTTTTTTTAAAAACAACACCAACAACTTAGCCCCTTTTGAATTTCTCACACAGGTTTATGAAAGTAAAATGAATATATGTTTTGTTTGAAAACATTCCAGAGTAATCCTAAATGAATACTGTATTGCAGCAGATAAAACAGCATGTGTCTCTTACCATTGACCAGAGCCATGATGCCCGGGATGATGATCAGAATCAGAGCAAACATCTTGATGAAGGTCAGCAAGACCTGTGTACGAGCTGCCAACGTCACACTCCAGCAGTTCACTGCCGCCACAAACGCTAGGCAGAACAGTTTATAGTTTTACAACATCATTTGTAGTTTTTTGACAGATTTAGATGTTTAGACTAAAGTAATCAATAAAGTAACGTCACTCACTGACTCCCAGCATGCTGACGATTTTGACCAGAGCTGTTGGAGCGACACACGGCATGAATAACGGCTCCACTACATACTGGCC